TTGAGCTGCCACTTAGGAGTTATGATAAATTGCTTAGAAATATGAAGTAACAAAGTTTTTCATCTGTAATTGCATTGTAAGGACAAGTTTATCTGCATTATATAAATAAATAAAATTTTTAACTTTATGTTGTTTTATATTTCCTTACAATGACATTTGTGAAAATTGATGTTTGTATGTTTATATTTTTTAGCAAGATGGATTTGATTCTTTTGTTTGTGGAAGTGTCATGATTTACCAAATATGGAAAGATTCTAAATTTTCAATTGGACATAAATTTAGGATCATGCAACTTGTATTGCATGATGAATGAGAACCTTTATCTTTAAGAAATTAAGACTAATTCATTGTCCACATGTATATGTGAGTCAAGTGAAGGGTTAAGGGATCTAGTACACATAGGTGTGCACTGTTTTAGTGCATTTGTATGGCTAAGAAGAGGAATCGTGAACTGTTGCACTTATTGAATCAATTAAGGTGAATCATACTTTGTTCCAAAATCGAGTCTTAGGAAATGACATCAGGTCCTGGTGCATCTCAAAATGTAATTTTTTGTTCTTAAATGTTATTTGTTCATTGTTGTAATGTTTTTTTAAATGTTATATTTAACTAAAAATTTTGGTTTATTTAAATAACATGTTTTATTAAATTAATTTTGTTTTTATAAATACTAAAAGTTAAATCGAAAATAAAAATGAAAAGAAATGATGACATGGAATTTAATAGGTGTTATAACATATTTGTCTATTTTCTCACTTAGTGTTATACTAACATGGGATGACATGACATATAAGGTGACAACTTTTGGATGTGATAACACCTCTTAAGATGTTCTCACACCCACAAGCCTAACCTAGTTACCAATTGCAATAACTCATCACCATCTGACGCCACACACCACCTTCTTCAGATGGAAATGCTAACTTTCCAGTGAACTCAGTGTGAATGGATGCCACCTATTGGTGGTGCTCATTGTTTTCTCTGGCGAATAAGTGGATGTATGTGAGGAGTTGCATACGTGTTTGAGTGAAGCTTTCCACCCAGTTGAGTCTTTATCGTTGTAAAGGAAAATGTGTTTGGAGATGGAAACGTTGTTGTATTAGAGGTACACTTTTTATTTTATTTGATTCAATATCATAATTGGAAATTAGGTTTATTCTATAGTACTGAATTTACTTGGGCTTTGGGCTTAATATAATCGGATTAAGTGAAGGACACATCTAAATGGGTCTTATATATACATTGAATAATGTTTAGCTTCATTATTATAGTCGACTATTTAATATAATTTTTTTTTTGGAAACGGCTAACAATTTTATAAATGAGTCCCACCTAGCATGAAGCTAGATGAGCCTAGGAAAAAAAGTACAAAAAGGTTACAGGAGACAGAAAAGGAAACAATAAGCAAAGAAATACACCACACTATAAAAGAGAGAAAGGAGATACGATCCAATCACACCACCGAATACTCCCCATTGACCCCCTGTGTTTTAACCAATAGAAAACCAGTGTTTGAATGTCATCAATGACCTGGTTTGGACTCCTTTTCTCCTGATTGAAAATCCTAGCATTCTAGGCTTTCCAAAGACTCCAGATCATCTCGTAACATATCATCGTAAGTATTTTCCTTTTCTTCGATACATCCTAAGATTAGTACCACACCAATTCATGATCCAATTATGCACTATAACTGCTAACTCACACTGAGTGAAAATATGGTTTGTTGTTTCGACACAATTCAAACAATAGCCACAATTTATTGATGATGTTTGAACCCCTCTAACATTCAAAGCATGCGCTGATAGGATTCTACCCCATTTGGCCCTCCAGACAAAACACCATACTTTGAGTGGGACTTCTTTCATCCATTCAACTTTAGGACCGGGTAAGATAGGGGTGAATTCGTCCAGTTTATTCTGGAAAGCTTCCACCATGTACAACCCATTCACTCCGATTGTGCAACTCCACGTATCTGGTCTATTTGATATACGAGCCTGACCCAACAACGCTTCGAGATGACTCAGGTTTTGGTTCAGGTATGGTGCCATGGGGTCCGACTTCCAATCCCATATGAATCCATCATTTGATATACGAGCACTGACTCGACATCTTTTCCTGCAGTCAATGTTAAATAATTCCGGGAACCTTGATTTTAAAGTTTCATTTCCCCACCAAACATCCATCCAAAATAATGTATCATGTCCATTCCTAATTGCCTTTTTGAAAATATTGTTATGTTCCAATCCAACTTTTTGAACTTCGTTCGAGGCCCCTACTATGTTATTCCACACTCCATATATATTCTTTCTTGAAAGTTGGTCGGCTACCCGCTTCTTAAGATTGTGTATCCCATTGATGACCTGACACCACAAGGCAGATTTGTCCACTCTTAGTCTCCACCACCACTTGACCATAAGTGCAATATTTATATTGCGAAGCGATCCCACCCCAAGTCCACCTTTCTCAAGTGAAGTAGTGACTCTCTCCCACGATATCCAATGAATTTTGGATTTATTCTCAAGCCCACCCCACAGGAAACGCCTTCTAATCTTTTCTAGTGATTATATCACCCCCAACGGGGCTTTAAAAATAGATAGGTAGTATGTTGGAAGATTACCCATGACCGATTTTAGTAATGTCAACCTGCCTCCAAAAGATAGCGTTTTTGCTTTCCAAATTGAAAGTTTTGTGTTGAATAGATTAATTATAGGTTTCCAGTTCTTTTTGAAGTTCATATTGGCACCTACTAGAACCCCTAAGTATTGAAAAGGGAGTTGCCCTACCTCACATCCGAGTATGTTTGCCCACCGATTCTTTTCTCCTAACGTTGTGCCAACACCAAACATTCGTGATTTGGTGAAGTTTAACTTGAGGCCGGAGAATGCGTGAAAGCATTTGTGTATTCTAGCAAGATTTTTGATGTTAGTTCTAGACCATTTTCCAATGAAGAGAGCATCATTGGCGTAGAAAAGGTGGGAGATTCTAGGCCCGCCATTGGGAATTTGTATTCTAGATAAGAGACCTTGCTCGCATGCTGAGTTGATTGCCACATTTAATCCCTCCATGGTTGTAATAAAGAGAAAAGGAGAGATCAGATCTCCTTTATGGACGCCCTTTGTGAAGTTGAACTCTTTTGTAGGGGATCCATTAACAATGACAGAAGCACGTGAATATGCCAGGCATCCTTGTATCCATGCCCTCCATTTGGTTCCAAATCCCATCTAGGAAAGCACCATATCCAAATAATCCCAATTCACCAAATCAAAAGCCTTGTCAAAATCTACCTTGAAGAGGAGGACCATTTTCTTGACCTTTTTGACCCATGAAAGAATTTCATTTATTATCAGGGGTCCATCAAGGATGTTCCGGCCCTCGATGTAAGAAGATTGAACATCACCAATGACCGATTTGAGCCTTTGTGATAATAGTTTAGCAACAATCTTGTACATACAACCTATTAGACTTATAGGTCGATAATCACTGAGTTGTGTGGGATCTTTAATCTTGGGGATCAGGGTGATGTGGGAGGAGGTACATCCATTTGCAAATTTCCCATATTCCTCGAAATGCTTGACATAAGCCATGATATCCAATTCCATGACATCCCAGTACGCCTTTATAAATTTAAAGGTGAAGCCATCGGGGCCCGGTGCACGGTCGCTTCCACAGGCCCAAACAACCTCCTTAACTTCCTCACGTGTAAAGGGGGCCTCAATGAGATTCGCCTTTTCTGGTGAAAGTGAGCTAAACAAGGAATTTATAAGTTTTGGTCTCGTGGTCTGGTGCTCATGGAACTTATTTTTGAAGAACTGAAATACTTCTTGTTTGATTCTCCCAGCCTCCATGCACCATTGCCCATTAATTGTTAGACCGTTAAGCCTTGTGCGCCTGTTTTTATTGTTAATGTAGCCATGAAAGAACTTAGTGTTCTCATCCCCATCTATAGTCCATTTAATTCGACTTTTCTGTTTCAAGTTAATGGCTGCCAACCGCTCCGCTTCAATAGTTTTTTGAAAATTTGTGTTTCTTATTATACGTTCTGCCTCCAAGAGGGGCCTCGCTTTGGCTAACCTGTCAAGTTCCTCCACAGTCTTTTTCATATTGTTAAGAGAGTCTTGTTCAGCGAGGTAAATCGAGTTCCACGATTTTCGAATAGCTTCCTTAAGATTTTTGAGTTTAGCAGCAAGGTATGCATCTGGAGGTCCATAACCATGAAATTCATTCCAAGTTGTATATACGACGTTATCGATACGATCTATCATGAGCCAGGAGTTGAAGAATTTAAATGGTGGAGGACCAAAGTCAGTATATTGAGAGATAAGAGTGAACGGACTATGATCGGAGAGTTCCTAAAGGAGGGCCGTTACAGCAACTGTTGGGAATGAACGGAGGAAGTTTTGGTACACTAAGAACCTGTCTAGTTTACTCAGTTTGACCCCATCGTGACAGTAGGTGAACCTTAGTCCCCCCATGTTTAATTCGTATAAACCTGCTTCCTGTATAAAGTTGTTGAAATTTGTTGCAGTTTGCCGACAATAAACGGAATTGAGCCTCTCTACCGGCCTGCGCACAACATTGAAATCCCCAAATATAACCCATCTACCAGCCTCGGTTCAAATGATGCTAAGTAATTCTTCCCAAATTTTGACCTTGTCGCAGGGTGCCTGGGGGGCATATATGCTGGCAAAAATTGTATCTCCATTCTGACCCATCCAATGTCCGATAATTATTAGGTAGTTCCTGGATCTTATAACCTCAGTTTGTTGGAATAGAAGAGGGTTCCACACGCATAACAATCCTCCAGATCTTCCACTTGAATTAACCCCTTCGTATTCAAATTCATCCGAGTCCCAACATCCTTGGACATTAATTTTTTTTAAAGTCACTCATCCAAGTTTCCTGTATTCCAACGAAATTAATCTTGTGCTTCTTTACCAGTTTCCTAACCCACCCAATTTTAGCATCTTCCCCGATTCCCCTAATGTTTAGACTTAAACAGTTCATTGATTACAGATATTGTCACCTGATTCACCCATGACCTCACAAGGAGCCGCATCGTTGGGTTCAATTTGAAAACCCACCGCAACACCCACTTCCGCTATGGCTTCAAGTTCCTGGGAATTAGTAAGTACATTGCAGCTCTCTAAATCGATCCCATTTGATGAATGCAAGGTTGGATTTCTATTCAAACCGAGAGAATTTGTTGAGGTCCAGCTGGAGGCAAAATTAGGTTGCAGCGGCTCGTCAAATGTGTTTTCCAGGTGAGGAGTGATTAATTTGATCGGTGGGGTTGACTTATGTCCTGAACGCTTGAGTATTTTTCTTTTCCTCTTGGCACCTGCACTATCGGTATGGGCTTTCCCAACACACTCAGCTTGGGCCGAAAAATTAATTGGGGCGGTATTGGTAGGGAATGTACCAAAGCAACCCAAGGGGATTGTAACTGGGAATGGACCGTTGGGATTTTCCACTTTTTCCAAGGCTGGCTCCTCGAATCTTGGAACACCGATGATTAGAATCGTTGGGATTCCAGAGGACGCATTCACATCTGATCGCCCGACTGTCTCCGTCACCGTTGTCGGAGTTTTTCCAGCGTCTTCATCTCCGAATCTGTTTCCGATTACCGGAGGATCATCCTTGTCTTTTCTGGGTCTGAATTCTCCCTCATCCGGACCATCTACATCATCATGCATCCATGTTTCTGAGACCGCTTCCTCTTCGTCCTCCCCTTCCAAATCGACAGCATCATTATCGTCATCTGATTCCATTGTCTGATCGAATAGGGCCAGAGAAAAGGGTGACCAATCATCCATATATTCAACAACACCTATATTGAGTAATTCCCCCTGCACATACATTCACCTCTTCATTTATCCATCTCTTTCTTTCTGTAATGATGCCAACCTTGCCCATGGAGTAATCCCTTCGAGTGCTAATGCAGTCGAATGGATTAATAACCTTCCCAAATCTTCCAGCTATTGCAAAGAAAGAATCTTCATCCCAGAGTCTTAAAGGGAACCCAATGATTTTAAGCCATGCTACTTTCTCGAATTTAATATCTTCTTGATCACCAAACATTAGCCATTTGAACCATTCCATCCATTTCCTTTTATCCTCTAGGAATGCTCTGGCCTCTACAGAGTTCCCAAAATAGATGGCAAGGTTAAGTCCCCCCAGATATTTAATGTTGTCCCCATTAACCAATGATGCGGGAATGTTTGCCATATGGTCCAGACTATGTGATTCACCAATAAGCACCTTCTTTTTTAGCCAATTACCCATGACTGTATCGGCTTTATCAAGATGGGTGGTGTAGGTGGAGGAGGGACAGGGGGAGGTGGAGGTGGGGCAGGGGGTTGGATTGGTTGCCTTGTTGCAGGCTGAGCATATCTTCTAGTTGCAGCTACTTGGGCGAAGGAACGATAGTCTCTGAGTCCATTGAAATTGTTTTGAGGAGGCCGGAATTGGTTTTGCATGCGAATGGATGTTTTTTTCCTCTCCAAGGGACTAATCAGCTTTCGTGGATGCTTTGCCAGATTAACCTCCAGAACTTTGTCTCTGCATCTAATTCCTTGCAATGCCACTTCCAGTGCTTTCACATCCATCACCTGTCTAAATCTCACAAAAGCAAAATGTTTGCCATTGCTATTCTTTTTGGCTAATATATAAATATCAACCACTTCTCCATGTTTTGTGAATAATTGTCTTATCTCCGCTATCCATGCACCGTGGGGGATGTTTGAGACGTAAAACGTAGTCTCATCGCCTGGAATCGATGTTGGTTTTCTCCTTCTTCTTACCTCCGTCCATTCACCCTCTTTTTGGTGACCGTCCATCTTCAATACCAACCAGGATAGCTAGAAATTAGTTTCTTATCGTAGTTTAAATCGGCAAACAAACATTAAAGGATTGTTGAGTGTATTAGTGCACAAGGTATAATTTGTTTTACCTATTAATTATATAAATTCATCATAAGCTATACGATGTACACTACTACAAAAAAGAGCATTACCGACAGCCAAAACCATCGGTAATCCGTCGCTAATACTCTTTACCGACGGAATTGTAACAGACCAAAATCCGTCGGTATATTCTTGTCGCTAATTGTTTGTAACCGATTTCCAACGGCTACAACTGATTTTTAGCAACGGATTTTTCCGTCGGAAACAGTAACAGAACACCAACAGAATATTTTTTGTAACGGATTACCAACGGAATTTGTTTTCAACGGATTACCGACGGAATAATTCACTAACGGATTACCGACGGAATAATTCACTAACGGATTACCGACAGATTCTGAAATAACTTAGTAACTGATTACTGACGGAATCTCAGAATTACTCACTAACGGATTACCGACAGATTTTCTGTAACAGATTAGCAACGGATTTTGGTATATGATAAAGAAAAATTATAAAATTATGAAAAATTTAAAAATAATTATATATTTAACACAAAAAAATTATAAAACATACACCAAATTTATTATTTAAGCCCAACAAATATAAAAGTAAAACATACACCAAATCTAGATTTAACATACACCAAATCTATTATTTAAAACCAAACCAACAAATATAAAAGTAAAACATACACAAAATCTAAATTTTCTGTGTTTTCCTTCCACTTTCTCAAATTATACATCATTTATACAAACCAAAGCTTTCCTTCCATAACAGAAATCACATCTCCATTTTTCTTTAGAAGCTCATGCATGCTATAAATAACTGTTTGAATCATATGGAGTAAAAACACTGAAAAATTCAAAATTTCAAAACTTTATCGGTACTCAAGTGGCTTAATTGGTTAAAAATATTCATAAGAAGTGCAAATTAGTAATTACCTGAAAGATAACATTTCGCGAACAGGCGTGATAATGGGCATTGACATAAAAAGTGAATTTGTGAAACACTATAATCTTCTTCTAGCCTCTTAATTTACTGTTGAATCCTTGATTGTTAAGAGCGAGTGTAGCCTCTTAATTTGTGACCTCTTTAAATGAAAAAAAAATGAGAAAAATTAAAAACCAATATGAGAAAAATAGAATAAGGAAAAGTCAAATAACATGAATTTAACTATTAGTCTAGTGCATACCAATTCAGAGTAGCATTAACAGCTCCACTTTCCAATTCAGGGCTACCAACATTACCAATACAACAAGCCAGAAAAGCATATACCTGCATTTCCAGAATTACCAATATACCCTCAGTATAATTAAAAAGTAAAAGAACTATAAAAAAGTAAAAGGGTAGACAAGTCATTACAGTATATAATCGTATAATTAAAAAGAAAAAGAACTATAAAAAAGTAAAAGGGTATACAAGTCATTACAGTATATAATCATAATCAGTTGTTGCTTCATACATGCCACATCCAACATAATAATGTTCCTTCATAAAAAGAAGAAAAAAATCTTGTTATTATTGTAATAAAGTAAAGGATTATAAAAAGAAAAATATGAAGCTATAAAAAAACCTGATGAATCCACTTGATTAAACGAACAACTGGTGAGTTATCACACTGATTGAAAGAGGAATGACAGGCTGGCAGCCTTGCTAATGAGCTCCAAAAGATATGACTTCCAACATAGATGCATAAAACTGAAGCTGATATTGTTTCATCTTGTTTTTCGGATAATTGAAACTCTGCAATATATATCATAATCATAAGGTCACATCAAGAACTCAAAAGAGCAAGTAAATACTTTCACCATGTCACTTCAATGTATAGATAATAGAACAATAACAAGCCTTACTTTCCTAAGATCAGCTGATGCCACTAAGTTACTTGTAGTTTTTCTGATCACATCAATTACATCATCGAGCCCAATTAAGATACCATTCATACCCAAAAAAAGGAAATATATACCTCAACAATATGCTTTATGTCTCTAGTTATCTTGTTCAAAAGCTTAAACCACTGAGCATCTAAAACCAAAGAAAGCCTATTTGTTTAGGTTATCCATTGACAATATTACCAGATGAGTAAAACATGAAAAGTCAAAATTTGGTCAAATCCTGTTTGAACTTCAAATCATTATTAGGACATAAGTGACCAACTAATAACCACTCACCTAAACATGATGAAGCTAAAACTAGACTGTAGAGCAGTATAACAATAAAGATTATTCAGAATAATTGGTGGATCAGCCCACCTCTTAAGCTGAAAAGTACGAATGAAAAAAGTTGAAGTGTGTAAAATTTCAAAAACTACATTATCAAATAATTTCAAAAAACTACCTCAGTGACTATATACTTGTTCCCTGTCTACCATTCTCATCATAGATATCACTTATGCCTTCCAAAATCTTGGAAAAAGGACAAAAGAGTAAAGTTAGTTGGAATATCATTAGAGGAGTACCTTGTTCTGAATTAGCTCAACAATTTTCTTGACAAGAGAGGATTTGTTGGTCTGATAGTTCATATATGTTATATGTGTTCCATTGTGTACAATGTGATATTCATATAGATAACCTCTTTTACTACAATTGTAATGCACATTGTTCTGGAATCTGATACTTATATCTTTGTCTTTCCTCTGACTATCACATGCCCTTTACCAGTTCTATAAGCTTCTAAGATTCTGAATCAACAAGAATTTAAGAACTTATACAAAAAGAGGAGATACCAAAGAACTCCCATTATGATTCCTCCTGTTGGGAAGTCAGGTCGAGCCATGTACTCCAACAATTTTTGCAGCTGTTACAAAATCAAGCAACTCCTCAAGATCATGTTTGAGCATAATACTAAAGAACATTGAAGAAACAAAAACTATTATCAGAAAATTAGAGCAAATACCATGACATCTGGATTATGAATTAACAAAATTAGAGCATCAACCAACTCCCATCAGGGGTACTTCAGGTAAGATAACTTACCCTTCTTCAATTGCATACACTTCAACATGAGAACAATCATTTCCTTCAAGGTAATCAAAGAAAGCATCCTAATATCAAGTATCAATAACAGAAAATTGACATCAATGAACAATTCTTCAAATTTGATTATGTTTTTTTTTAGGATCAAGTATTGTGTTACTTTTAGTAAATCTGAATTCAAGCTTTACCTCATATGTAAGAGATAAGATTTCTCCAACAAAAGCAATCTCTTCCTTTGATAATTTAAGAAAATTGATATTTTCTCACAGTAAGTATAAAAATAACATATTAAAAATAGATTTCAATTTGTAAGCTATCAATACATAAGGTACCACGATTTAGAAATTAATTAACTATACCTCTTCTCTAGTTCTCCAATGTTGTAAACTTGGATTTGATTATACATAGATGAACCAAAACATGTTTGTATACACATAGAAGCTCATATTGACCCATTTTCCTTCACTGGGGAATTTTATCGAACATCTGATAGTAATGGACATGGAGAGATGAGAACATCATTATATACATAGGGGTATACATGGGGTAATACATACAGATGCAAAAATAGATGCACTGGAACTTAAACAACCTTCAATTAACTGTGGTGCTCGAAACTTCCACAATAAATTAGACGGTGAAATGTAGAATATACAAAAAGAGAGTGCTGAAGGGTAAAATACCAGTATGAACCCTAGATGTTAGGGTAAGATGTTTTCGGAGGTGAATGTCGGTGAAATGGAAGCAATTGTCAGCGGTAGACGGTGGATTTGGTGCAGGTGAACGTCGAATTGGAGGCAATCACTCAGTCGATTGATGGCAGAGTATTGACGGACGTCAATGAGCGACGACGACGGGGTTCTTGGTTTCGACGATGGTGAAACACAAACTGCAGCAACGATGGTTAGGGTTGGGTCGTTCTTCAATGGTTGTGTTGTGAGACCGAAAGACGGAGAGCCCCCGATCAACTTAGGTAGGTCAAGTAGATATACAACCCACTTAAACATCCTTCTATTCTTCATTTACCAAAATACCCACATAATTTATAAGTAATAAAATAAAAAAAAAATGTAATTTTTACCGACGGAATACCGACAAAATAAAAAATATGTTGATTTCCGTCGGTAAACTGTAACGGATTACCAACAAAGTTTCTTCCGTTGCCAAACCGTTGCAAAACCATCACTAATATCCTAACTATTAGTCTGTCGGAAATCCGTTGGTATTTGGTTGTTGTTTCCGATGGATTTTTTCCGTCGCTAAAAATTTGTCGGTAATACCCAATTTTCTAGTAGTGGTAGTTATTAGACAAATTGGGTTTCGGGACCGGGTTCGGGGTAGATTTTAGCCCCGATAAGACCACTGTTTGGTTTTAATAAATCACATAAAATGTTCATTCTTGAACAAGACAAACAAAAGTTATAGACTAAAATTAACCGCTAAAATAAGAAAATATATATTGTTATTGCTGTATACTTCCCAAAAATAGAATTATGAAAAAAATTATATATTGATTCACATCACGTGGGTTACAAAAGATTGAACCTAGACGAGAAAACATCCCCGTTCATCGACACCAACATGACTACATTCATTCATTCGAGCGTATATATAACCCCATGTAAGTGCAGCGTATTGTCATCATCCTTACGCCTTCTTTCTTCATTAGTTTTTCTTCGGTCTAAAGTGAACTGTTTTATCACATTTCGAGTCTTTAATTCTTATATTAGTCACGGAATCAGCGAGTTTTGACCAATTACTGTTGAATATTTGAAAAATGGGAAGATTTCGAAGAGTCGCGGAGGCGTTTGACGTGGCCGCCATGGTCAGAGATTGCGACAGCAGCGGCAGCGAACACTCGACAGAGATGATGAAGGATTTGTCTGATTTGGTCAACTCGTTTATCGAGAATGGAGATGGCGTTGTGGATTCACATTTTGATATGAGAAATATGAACGACGAATGTGATTCTGATATAACTGATGATCATATGGAAGAAACGAAAGAATCACTCAAGACATTGTTTCGATCTAAAAAGGGTGATGCTGATCATGCTGTGAGAAAAAATCTTCTTTTGAACGTTGAGAGAGCATGGCGGCGCGTGACGGAAGATAACTCAGCGCCACCGATGCCAGGATCTAAACGCCTATTAATGGCTCGCCTCCGCGATCAGGGTCTTGACGCCGGTAATATTTTAATACTATTTTTAGCATCTTTGTATATTATATAACTATATAATAAAGATAAGTTGATAACAATCAATGTCATGTATATATTCAGGTCTTTGCAAATCTAAGTGGGAAAAGAAAGGCCGGCTTATCTCCGGTGAATACCAATACGTCGACGTTAATGTCGCCGGAACTCGTTACATAATCACCATATCTCTCTCGGAAGAATTCGAGACAGCCCGGCCTACTGATAACTACACTTCGTTGCTCGAGATTCTCCCTCAAATTTCAGTTTGCAAAGTGGAGGAGATGAAAGAGGTGGTGAGAATAATGTGCAGAGCTGTTAAGAAGACGATGAACCAAAGAAAAATGGCGGTGCCACCATGGAAGCGACGGGAGTACGTCCAAGCTAAATGGTTTGGTGCTTACAAAAGAACCACCAATGAGTTCTCTGCTAAAAACACGACAGATTTGAATGTAAATGAGAAGAAAATCGAAGGGTTTACATGGACGCCAGAAGCTTTTTATTGTAGACGCACGGAAGATTTTGGAAGGAAGGAATTTGGGTTGAGAATGGGTAATTTGACAATGGCTATGAATGGAGCAAGCTAAGATATTTTTTGTGAATATTTTCAAAATCTTTAGTTGAGTTAAGTAATTATTTGCTGTAGAATCGATTCTTGAAAATGTTTTGGGGCATTTTTATTTGGATAATCTCATTGTAAATCCATTTTTAGTTATTTCAAATGTACAAAGACGTTCATATTTTATATATTTCGTTCAAATTATTAGTTCTGTTGTTCATTCATTAACTACTTATTTATTGGATTCTTTTACACCCTCTTCTCAAGTTTTTTTTAGGAGAGAAAGAGGAGGAAATGAAAGGATTAGAGTCGTCTCAAATTTTGTTAGGAGAGAAAGGAAAGTAAAGGAGAGGATTAGGAAGAAGGAAAATGCTATGTTATTATAGCTTATTTTTATGTGGATTTAAAAATTAAAAATAATAATAATAATAATAATAATAATAATAATAATAATAATAATAATAATAACAACAACAACAACAACAACAACAACAACAATAATAATAATAATAATAATAATAATAATAGTAATAATAATAGTAATAATAGTAATAATAATAATAATAGTAATAATAGTAATAATAATAAGAATAATAATAATAAGAATAATAATAAGAATAATAATAATAATAATAATAATAATAAAAACAAAGACTGGTTTTACCCTTGTTCATTTAATGCTACAGCTTCGTTCAAGAGTATACTTGTGATTTGACAATGATTTTCGTTACCCTCTTATCTCCTCCCCTTTTTCCTTTTTTTCCCTTCCTTTTCATTTCATTTCCCCTCAAATTTTAATCTTGAGAACACAATGTTAAGAATACATACTTAAATTACCGTGTTTTCAATTTCAAGAAGTTTCTAAATTCGAATTCCGTACCTACAAATTAAATTGTTTGATGAATTAGGCATACTAGAGGGTAATAAAAATTTCCCATGTTTGAATATAAAACATTAGCGAGCAAACTAGAATGGAACTCATGAATTAATCTATATTTACAAATGCTTAATTCATGAAACACAAAGGCTGAGTATTGAATCCTCTGAAAAATCTATGCCTAATAATCTGAGTTGGATGTGGAGGAGGTCGAATGCTCACAAATGTTGCGGGAATCTTGAAACAATTCCTTATGTAAAAAGTGCTGCTATATACCTTTGATAGCCAGAAGGTACATGCATGACACGTACTAGTTCTTTGACAACTTGTTTGTGCGCAAAATGGATATCAATTTCTATATCTTTGCTCTTTGATGTTGAACTTACATGGCAAAAGGATAGCACTGGCATTATCGCAATAAACAACATGGCCTTATAAGTATTATGTAGAGACTATTCGAGTAGTAAATTGCAAATTCAACACGCTTAAAGAACAATGTTTGCAACTTCGCAGTAATCAACATTTTGGACGACTATGATATAAAGTTGTCTCCAAGAAAAAACACAACATCTAAAAGTAAAATGAGATTTGTGTTTGGACAACCAGCTGGTACGGGTGTAGGCAATAATTCGACGAGAAGATCGATATTTGGATAAGGTGATGCCGTAATCTACTTCATCACAATTAATATAGATGAAGAAGTGTAAAAACTTCATAAATTAATTTGTTTGAGTATAAATGTTTGGGAGAGTTTGTTGGGTTTTTGGATATGAGAAATTTCACAGCCATGTAAACTTAAGAAAAAGGATATTATACAAGTACAATCTTCATGGGTGGTCGTCGTTTCGTGGAAACAACCGGAGACGGGTGGTCAAAGCTCTGCAGGCAAGGCAAACAAAGACAAACGAATGATACTTCCACGTTCTACGTCGCGGGATTCCCAGATGGGACCTGTAAAATGGATTTGCAAGGAATCTTTGACGCATTTGGGCAAACATCGGACATCTATATCGGTGGGAAGAAGAATCGACGTAATCAGAACTTCGCTTTTATTCGATATGTTGGTGTGAACGACACACATGGTATGGAAGTGAAAATGAATGGTGTCAGATTCCGTGGAGTAACCCTACTCGCTAACCTCGCCAAATATCAAAAAGAGAGATACAATCGCAGACAGACATTCAGTGGAAAACCAAAGGTATCGAAAGTCACTTCGGGGACTAAATTCGGAAGCCGGGATTCGAGAACCTTTGCGCAGGTGACTGCAGGAATTAAGGTAGTTCAACATGGTACTTCCCCTCCTATACTTCTTAAAGCCAAAACTGCCATGAGTGAATGGACAAAGAAGACCCTACTGATAGGAGAAGCCCAGAGTCTTGATCACATAGCTAACTTGCCAGACCACACATTCTCGCAAGAATCTATGAAGTATCTTGGAGGTCTTAAGCTAGGCATTAAATTTGGTTCATCTAAGGAAGCTCGTGAATTCTTAGAAGATAGATCAAGGTGGCATGAATGGTTCAAGTGGTTGACGATGGACATGAACAAGGAGGTACAATATGAAAGACTAGCCTGGCTAAAGATTACAGGTGTTCCTCTCAGATACTGGGATACTGACAACTTTTCCACGGTTGCTAGTAGATTTGGGAAGGTTATTATTCCATTCGAAAGCATCTTTGACAGAAAAGACCTATCCATGGGAAAGGTGGGTGTTATCACATCAATGAAGAATTGGATCAACGAAGAAGTTAAAATCGGGGTAGATGGTGTGGTCTATAGTGTTGGGGTCGTTGAGTATACTGATGACTGGTCTCCCTTCAAGCCTTGCCAATTCGATAAAGTAGAAAAGGTGTTGGAATCGGAGGAAAGTGAAACCGATAATGAAGATGATGGGGTCTCTGAAACCTGGATCCCGGAGGACGACAACGATCTAGAGGAAGGAGAATTCTGTTCCGATAGAGCTCCAGAATCACAGCTGAAGAAGACGTACAGGCATGTCGAGTTTGGTAATTCCCCGGTGATTGTTGGGAACACAAAAGACGCATCGGTTGAGCCTAATAGTGTAATCCCCCAGAATGAAGTCAACGAGGGGTCTGTAAGGCAGTCGGTTGGGAATCCCCACGTGATGAATGAAGTATCGCCTACTGAGAATGACGGTGGCAGAATTAGGATGGACCCGGGTGATGTGGGTTTGGACTCGGCCCTAAAAGCTAATGGGCTCAATGTCAATTTCGACCCATCCATGAGTTCTTCACCAGCCCCAAATAATTCCAACGCCGCCATATCTAATTCGACTCCCAATTCTGAGGGTTGCTGCACTGAGCCTAAAAGTAAGCGGAGAAAAAGAAGACCAGGTAGTCATTCCCCTAGAAATAGCGATGCGTCTTCAAGAG